ATGATATGTTTGGTCCACAATCTTGCTTGAAACAGCACAGTATGGTCAGGCACATGGTGATCTCATCGGTTACACAATACTTTCGCTAACCGACCCGGACCGGTTTACGTACGATTTCTTTATGAGCTTGCCGAATTACGAAATTTACGCCTCTTTAGCATATCGTTGTTCTGAGTGTGTAAGATTATATGTTTTTACATAATATGAACAAATATGATTGTCTTCGTTTCTTTGCGGAGAGTGGGTAGGAGATTTCTTAGTTTTGGGTGGTCTATGTAGGTGTGAATCTGATGCTAAAAACCTAATTTTTCGCCATTTTTCAAGTATTGCGGGACATAAACCAATAGCACGCCATTTACCATTGATCAGGTCTTCACCTCCACCCACTGGCAGCTGCACTGTATCGGACATCTTCACTCTATCTAGCTCGAGGGCCATCTAGAATACACTGTTTTGGGTAGACATGGTCTCCCGTCCGAAGTTAATGATACTTGGTTATTTTAAAGATCACAATACAGGCCTTGGCAATTGAGAAAGAGACTTCATGTATTACAGTTTAACTTGAAACTGATGAAACAAAGCTGACCTGACAGGTAATGGTGTAGAATTAACACGAAAATTGGGACTATAATGTAATTTTTTGATCGTTCTAAGAATCACTGCTCTTCGTATCTGTGCAAGGTGTGCATGCGACCGTTCCAAGACAACATTGTTTTGTTATTTTTTTCTTTGTATTTCCTCTCGTGTGGGATGGATCGAATTCTAATTCGAACACTTTTCGATTTGCGTCATTCGTTAGATAAATGGGCCATAAATTTTGTACTGTTTTGACTTTTATTATTTGACATTTATGTATGTATTGTATTTGAATTTAAAGATGTGAAATAAATCTTTTAATAAGTAGGCCATTTTGATAGCTCAATGGTAATAAGATAATGAGGTTCCTAGGTCAGTGTGGTATCAGGGGGATTTTGTTTTATACTGTAAAGCAGTACACAAATAGGCCATAGTTTCACACTATGATAGGATAAACAGAATTGTTGTTTTGACGATGAAAAATGTATATTTCAAAATGTATGATGATGAAAAATGTATATTTTTCATCATCATACATTTTCCATTATCATAAGTCTAGTGATCCTTTTGATCTGTTTTATATAGAGCAGGCCTTACATTGCAGACAAATTAATTTTCACAATCCAATAACATAATGAATGATAATTTGTTTATCTTTTCTCTAAAAATAATGGTTTATTAGGTGCAATCCTTGATAACAGCATGCTCTTAATTGGGCTTGAACCCTATGACTATAAATTATCTGTTGCATTCACTATCATTAAATTAACACCAAAAAAATACTTAGTACATTATTAAAATCAAAGAAAATATAACGAAGTACGAAATGCTAAGTGGGAACAGCAGATACCGTTGTCCGGTAACCAACGTTCCGGGTCGGCGGGCAGACCGACCATCTGGCGGTCTTCACTACACCTGCTTACTGGGGTAGGCAGGGAACTAAGTATTGTGACAATACTATGGTTATTGCCCAAAAGGTGTGTAGCGGGTGGAGTAAGATGTAAACAATCCAATTACAAATCGTATGTTTTCTGCCTGGTGTATTCTTAATAATTTTAGAGTCATCAGTTAATCTAATTATTGAACAAGCATTGGAATGGAATCCTCAGGAGAAGACGAAACGTGGTCGTCCTCGGCAAACCTGGCGTTGCACAGTGGTATCAGAAGCGGCGAGCATTAGAATAACGTGGATCTTTTTTTATGGGATATGCCGGGTAAACAGATCAGGTAAGCAATCGGCGTCGCCCATGGACACTTGGAACATCAGAGGCGTTACAAGTGCATTATCGGCCTTTTGGGGATTAGAATTTGAGGATTGTTGGGAATTCAGGTATTGGGAAGGTGGGGAGGTAATTGGGCTTTCGGTAACCTTACTCACACGACAAACACAATGCAAGCAATGCATTTCACGTAAGTTTTCTGTGAGGCCGTGGTATCACTCATTTATGCGGCAAGCATGGCTCTCCCACACTTAAATCCTTTAACCCGTTACTTTTTATCCTGTCTTTTTTATCTAAGCGAGACATCATATATTTTCTATTGTATCTTATACATATAGATTAAAGCGATTAATAGTAAACTAGCCTCTGCCAGCGGCTTCCAAATTTCATCCCGATCCCTTCAGCCGTTTAGACGTGAAGAAGTAACAAACAAACGAACAAACAAACAAACATAACTTTTACATTTATAATATTAGTAGGATTCGTTCACGTTATCTTGGAGAGAGGCTCTATAATCCTTGACAGAATTAAGCTATGAATCATCTACCTTACGAAATTATGACCTAAAGTTACGAAGGCTGTTTCCTAGCCACTGAGCAATCTGCTTCACACCTGTTTGCTCCTCAAAGGGGCAGGATCATAGATATAACATAACGTAACATCACGCCTTTTATCCCCGAAGGAGTAGGCAGAGGTGTACATTACGGCACTTAATGCCACTATACAATGTAACACCCACTTTTCACTATTTATGTTATGTCTATTGCCATATACCGGGCACAATTCCAGACTCCGTGCTTACTGAGATTTTTTGAAAAAGTCCAGTAATACTTTACCCGAACCGCGAATCGAACCCCAGACCCCTTGTCCGGCAGTCGCAATTGCGACCACTCGGCCAACGAGGCAGTCATAGATATAATATAGGTAAAATAAGTCTTTAATATTTCTGTGGGCGGATAGATGCACTTATCTATTGTTTATAGTAGGCCCAAGTGTTCTGAGTTCCATTTAAAAAGCAGATGAGTATATTTTTGTAGCCTCAATAATATTATATTGTCTGCTTTGAGTCTCCAACCTGAGACTCTATTGCTTTCCAGACCACTCAACCAATGAGTGAGTTAGGACCACTTTAATAACCAGGTGTATAGTCTATTTTTAGATTTTAAATGTCGCCGAGATATTTTTGAGAATTTACATAAAAGTCGAAAATGCAATAACGTATTTTGTCTTAACTGGGAATTGAATTTGAAACCTTAAGCTTTACATCCAACTAAGGAAACTAACAAATAGCCAATCCCATTACTAAAAATCTACTAATTAGGTTTTGATGTGTAATTTCGATTTAGTGCTTCCAAGATTTCTAATTCAGTACCTAACTAGGTATTATATTAATAGGTCAATAGGAACCAATATGAAATTTAATGAACAAATAGTGAATTTTTATGTTCGATAGTAAAATCAGAATTAATGGCTAAGCGTGAAACGAGTGTAACAATTGGTACAGTCAGCATCAAAAGTACTTAGAACTGTGTGAATATTTTTTTAAATTTATGTAAGTAAAAATTTATTTTTGAAGGAGTTTCTATGTCTAGTTGAGGGCCCCAGAATTCGCGTGATGATGATGATGATAATAATGATGTACCTATATGTAAATAAAGTTAGAGTGTCTGTCTATTTGTAATATAGAAACAACCACTTTGTACAGTTTGTATTTGTACTGCATACATATATGCATGTATAATATTATGAATATACCTACATACATACGATACATGTAATAAAATACTTTTTAATCAGATCTCTGATATGGCTGATAAGTCTGGAAGGTAGTTGATTTACTTAAAAGAAAATGAAGCTGCTTTCTGCTTGCGGACGAAGTCGCGCGTACTGCTAGTTTGGAATAAAAAGACGTTGATGTGGTCGGATCATACCTACTTATTACATTATAGTTTTTATTTATGTCTATTGTTATTAGTAAACATGAGATGTTAATAAGAATGGTCCAGATAAGTCATTATATAAATCTAAATAAGTATAAATTACTATCTGTCCCGGCAAACTTCGTAATCCCTAAATTTTTCTTTCTCATCTTTCAAACCTTCCCTGGACTTCCACGAACATTTCAAGACCAAAATTATTCAAATCGGTTCAGCCGTTCTCAAGTTTTAGCGAGATTGACGAACGGAAATTCGTTTTTATATAAGTATAGAAAGATTTATGACTATTCTTTGTGTAGCTTCGATAATAAACATCGAACAATAAATTACCAGACCATATTATTTCAAGTTTACACGAAAAAATAGATTCAAGATGGTAATCTTAAATGATTTCATCATAAGAATGCAACTATAATGAATCTAAAACCAGATCCGACTAAGGCCATTGACGCTTAGTAAGTTTCATAACAATTGTCGGCGAAATGTGAACGTGCAAATACGATACTTTATAGATAGATACATACCAGCAAGTATCAGATTTGTGGATTAAGAAACAGGTGACAAATAATTGTGAAATTACATGGACATGCAATGCAATGGATTGAGAGACTGTTTACTTTCTCATTGCGAAGCAAAATTAATTTGTACAGTAATTTTTTTATACTATAAGAAGGTTAAACAAATAGAAACTTTAACTAAGTCCCGAAAATATTTCGATAAAACCAAATTCATGTCTCACTTTCTTCACAACAGTAAAAAAATATTTGAAAATAATATTTACCGATAACATTTTGCATTGACGCTAACTGTACCTCATAACGACAATGAGGGCTTGTAAACTTTAAACAAACTAAAATCAACATCTTGGTTTTAAAATAATTCTTCTTAAAAACAACAATTTCGACACAAGTCCGTGACCTGAATGTTTTAATGAGTTCATATTAAAAGAACATCAAACATCTTGGGATTTGCATTACAGTTCACATGATCTACCCCTCATAAACATACCAAATACCGCCCACGCAACAAATGAAACATATTTCGACAGTTTACAGCAACCCATAAAAGCTTAAACGATCATTTTGTTACATATTAACTCAATACCGCGCGATAATACGCAAAACTTTAGCAATAACGACAAAACCACGAAACCTGTATCGAGACGATTGCGAAACATCGAGGAAAATATATCGATTGTTGTAAAAGGATCGTTGAACGCTATAAAATAAAAAAACAAAAGAGTGATTTCGGAAATCAATAGTCTCACCTTGATAATCCGTTTATTTTGACAGCTGCTTCAAGTCAACAAAGAAAACAATAGCGTGCACTTGCTCACGGTCAGGTTAATTTGAAAAAAAAATCACCCGAAACTATTTCAAAACACGTCACTGGACCATTTTTGTGCACAAACTTACAATAACTTAAACTCAACAATCGATTTCGGAACACATAAACACAAATTCGGATATTTCGTTGTTACTTCGTTACTTTTCAAACGTGGAACGCGACAACATGCGCACGAGTCGCGTTCGAACACAACACTGAGTTCGCGCGGCCGCCATTTTCTCGGCAAATAGAGGGGGAAGGCACCGAAATAGGAAATAAAATGGAAAAAGAAGGCTGTTCGGGCTAGGTTGGCGTGTGCTAAATTATTCTCAGTTATAAAAAAAATGGAACGGGATTATTCAACCTTTTTGAATGAGAGAAAAATGAAGACGCCTCCTTTGAAAGTTGCTTTGTAAGGGCCGATGTAATAGAGGTATATCTATTCAATCACAGTTAGTAAAAGGAAGCAGTGTCTACCATTAGTTAAGTAGTTTTATCAGGAATAATAGCTCAGTAACGTGCTTGTCTGCCTTTATGAAGCAAGGGATAGAATAGGAAGCTTAGATACGCATAGTTACCCATTTGACGTTATAGTAACAGTATATAGACAAACCAATTTTCGGGCAACATAACAGTGATCCCTAACCTGCATCGAACCAATAAAACTATGTAACTAGAGAATTGTATTGTAAACCCGATTGAAAAAGAGTAATCTATGGAGTTTCTTGCTCGTTCTTCTCCATAGGACCTTGGAATGAGCAACTAGCTTCACTTCTAAATTTTTGTTGTTGACGTTCAAAAGGGCCATCCTGGTCTAATTGAAATAAATGATTTTGACTTTGACTTTGACTTTGCAAATGGTGGGAATTATGGTATAACCTCTCCCTTAAGAAGGTCTTTGCTCATCACTGGACGTATTTCGGTTGATATTTTATTATTAGTGTTACGTACACATTTAATAGAGACGTATTACTGCGCTTTCCGATAAACCTGATTAAGCTGCAATCTCCAAACCACCTGCTTCTTATGATAAACTCATTTGTAGATTCCAATATTCCAGCAGTGATCTGTCATGGCCTGTTGATGTGGTGTCCATTATCCAAACAACTTTGTTAAGATTACATTCCAAAAATTATGTTTTGCTATTAACGTGTACATGTCATTAACATAGTAACTATGAAATAGTTATCTCCCAATTAACCGCTTCAGCAAGGAAATAAACCTCGGTATAGCTCTTGGGGTCAAACTAGGTGACCGAATCCCGTTAACTATTCGGTGTTCAGAAATTTTAATTATAATTAATTTTCACAGTATGATGCGAAAATTTGCGATCTTCAGTGTTATGGGATGCCTTTGGGAATTTCTAATTAAATTAAGATACGATGTCTGTGGTCAAGTATGTGGTCTCTGACTTGCATAATTTCTTTTGTGTTACTTACTTCCTTGATAGATGGAGTTAATATGTCCTCGAACAACTATTTGTGGATCACCCAGAAATATGAATATTTTGACTGGATGATTGGTGCAGTGGCTGGATATACCGGCTGATGTGCAACGTCTCACAAGTTTGATACCCGGATATTTTTTGTGATTTAAAAATAGTGGTGGATTTGCCATAACAGGCGTTTCACTGTAGGGGCGGAGCAGGTATATTAGAGAACCCGGTGCCCCTTACAGGTATTGAGGGTGACCACTGGTGTGGCTTACCCCACAATCTTTCTCCAGCTTAGTCTCTATCTCCATAAAGCTGAGCTCCAGTTGAGGGTTACCCATCACAAAAGAAAGGTCTCGCTCTGATGTTAATGTAAAATTTGTAAACGGATAAAGTTAAAAAAGCCACTGCACCAATCGTACAGTCAAACAATAAACACATACAACCAAAGAAGCAACCATTTTGAAATTCGCCAAATTCATTCATCTATACACAGATAAATAAAATTGGAGTGTCTGTTTGTAATATTAAAATAACCGCTGTAAACTACACTAGCGACCCGCCCCGGCTTCGCACGGGTGCAATATGCATGTATTATACATATAAATCTTCCTTAAAAATCACTCTATCTATTAAAAAACCACATCCAAATCCTTTGCGTAGTTTTAAAGATCTAAGCATACATAGAGACAGAAAGACGGCGGTTAGCGACTTTGTTTTATAATAAACTTCACTTAAAAGGATAAAAAGTAGCCTATGTGACATATACCAGTACACACAGCGCCATCTATACCAATAATTTGGTTTCCCTCGAGAATATCAAATTTATCCGGGATAAAAAGTACCCTATTATTTAATCCGGACTTCTAACTTTCCGTCTGCAAAAATTCAAAGCAATCGGTTTAGTAGTTACGGTGTGAAAGCGGAACAAACAAACAAACTCACTTTCCGATGTATAATATTAGTAAGGATAGCGAATAGTGATGCATATGATACATATATCAAAAGAATGCATTTTATCATTTTTATTTATATATTTGTACTGATTAATCTCTGAAACAGCTGAACCAATTTTGACGAGACTTCTATTGGTAGGTAGCTAATGTAATAAGGAGTAACATAGGCTACTGTTATTTTAGAAAAACGCAGACGAAGTTGCGGGTTTAGCTAGTAACAATGTAATAATGTAATGACCTACAAATAGAAATACAGAAATAGGGGACAAAGAAACCTAATGTCATTAAGGTCAGTGGTTATGGTTGCAAAGCATTAAATATAATTACCAACTTTATTACAATTACTTATTGTAAACTTGTTGAGGCATTTATCATTATGGTTCTATACTTTCTATAGTGTATTGAGTGTTGTTTTGATGTTAGGAAAGTGTTAAAAACTGGCCCTATTTTGATTCGTCGTACGCCATTATCGTGTGAAAGTAGTCCAGTGTTCTCATGAATCATTTACCTATCTAAATTAGGCAAAAGCAAAAATCGACAGCTACTCACGTGACAATACTGAGAAAAACTCTACTAGTGTGTGTGACATCGTTGCGACTGCACACGCTCTCATGAGGATGAACCCCTATGTGGTTCGAAACCAGTAGAGCTTTTTTGGGTATATTCACGCGAGTAACCCGCGATTTTTAGTTAATTAAATATATCTTACAATAGTTACCTATTATACAAAAAAATATATATCTAATTGTGAATGACTTCAACATTTTATGTCCGACTGCTGAAAAGCGACACTGTTAGTTGTTTCTTGAATGTCTCGCAACAAATTCCTTTATACCTCTAGTATAATTTGTATGTCTGGAGTAAGTAGGCCAGAGAGTGACATAGGCCACTCTTGCTTTGATCACATGGGTAAAGCCGCATGAATCAAGAATACATTTTTATGCAAGTTGGTCCATTTTTTAAGTCCAATTTTCGATGGTTGATAACAGAAGCTAGGTGCCTTAGGCAAGAAGGTCCACAGCCTACATGTCACACTGGGCATCCAACTTGTCATCGTTATTGTGACTACAACTGCTTTTGGTTTAGAATTATATTTTGCTGGAGAAAGACTCCAGTTTGGTGCTTCTATAAAGGCGTATTAGCAAAAGGATCTAAATTTAAATTAAGTACTTAATATTATTAATGCCTATCTCATTATAAATAGGAGAACCGGCCTAATATTATAATTATCTTCATAACTTTGAAAGGTATTCGTAAAGTACCTATGGTAAGGAACCTTGAACTTTCGCACTGAACGATACTCAACTTGTTGATCGGAGTTTTAAGATTACATTCACTTAACAGATCCAGTTTTTGCTGTTTCAATGATTAACATCACAAGTTGTTTCTTGACGACATTATGTCAAGTTGAAGGACGATAGAAAGAAAGACAATTAGATAAAATGAGAGGATATTTTTGATTGGGAAAAACACCAAAATGTGATTCAGGTCCTGGGACAGCATATAATTTTTTTATGCAATGATAAACCGATAATCGAGCGGCGGATCACTTTATGGTAAGCAATCGGCGTCGCCTATGGACATCTGAAACACCAGAGGCATTACAAGTGCGTTACCGGCCCTTCGCGAATTAGGAATTTTAGGATTGTGGGGGATTCGAGGATAGGGATGGGGGTAATTGGGTCTACGGTAATCACACAACGAAACACAATACAAGCATCGGTTCACGTCAGTTTTCTGTGAGGCTGTGGTATCACCACGGTCGAGCTGGCCTATTCGTACCGAACCATGGCTCTCCCACTCTTAAAATTCATTCATTCATCAACAACAGATCATGACTGCACATTGCTGGACTATGAGCGCCCTCTGCATAGATTTTTTACATATGTTTTTTTGAGTTAAGGGTTTTTACATTTACATGTGTAAAACAGGGTTTCCTACAACCTCCACGCTTGACGATATTAATTTAGAAATCATTAGTGAAAGGAGTTCTTTAAAATAACAGTTATTGTACACCTATTTTTAAAAGGAAAATTCAAGCTATTTGACAAATTGGTCTAGTTTATCCGAATACTAGATCAAGACAAACTAGATCCTGAAACGAACTGGGTAGTGACAGTTTTTCTTACTTAATAGAGTTCCTGAAAGAATATGCAGAGCAATAAGTAGACGTTGCGTGCTGTATGAAAGTTAAAGTATCAGGCGCAGCATATACTACATAATAGGAATTGTGTGTTTGGGGATACGGATACTTTTGATACGGATACGGATTTTTTTGTTTTTTTGTATGGTTGCACTGTGTCACAAACATGACGCGAGAACTAACTAGTCTAAACCTTCACCATTGGGCCACCAAGATACAGGCTGTGCCTAGTTTGGGGCCCACGGGCACCTCTGCCGTATTTGTATCTATGTGAATGCTGTTCGCTTCCATGTCTACATGTAATCTAACTTGTGTATGCCAATAAACAAATTGAATTTAATTTAATTTTGATAAAATATATTGTAAATTAACTCGTCGAGTACCGGTTTTGTAGACACAATTATAGAACAATAGGTTGCGGTCACCGGTGACCGCTTGGTGTTTGACAGTTTAAATGTGAAAATATAATTCGACTCACATGTCCAGAAAAATATTTTATTATTATCTACCTCAAGTATACGTTCCATTAGAGTATTTAACCAAAATACTCTAAGGTTCCATATCTCGAACAAACAAACAATGCGGTCAAACATACGGGTTGTGTAATATGTTGGTAGGTTCATACCTTCATAGATTCCCGCATCATTGCAGTTGTATTTTATTAAGGAAAACATAATTATTGAGATAATCCACTTAGGGCTGTGAGGCATTCTGCCTTTTGGTTTCGCGTTTTCCTTTTTTTTGTCAATTTCACTGTGGTGACAAATTTTGTTACTCTTTCCGTGTATTTCGTAAACGACTAGAAGGCTTAGCTAGCTCCAATGAACCAACCAATCAGAGGCCTTAGTACCGGTTTAAAATAAAAAAAATCTCTATACCTCTATATATAAATGAAACTCGTTTTCCGTTGTCACGCCATAACTTGAGAATAGATAGACCGATTTGGTAGATTTTTTTAAAGTTGTGTTTGTTATTGTCAAGAGAAGGTTCTTATGACAGAAAAAAGTCCTGAAAATCCTACGGAAACGGGTAAAACCGGGATTGCGTGTACGAAGTCGCGGGCAGAAGATAGTAATAATGTGAGCACCATGTTAGACTATAAGATTTTTTATTTTTTTTTATTTTAGTAAGTTATTAGTATAATGCGTCAAGCGTGTCTTTGCATTGTTCTTACATATGCGTACAGTATTGAAATATGTATCAGAGCCACTGTAGAACATACTTTTTTAAAAAGAGTAACGAATGGAGTTTCTTGCTCGTCCTTTTCCATTCGAATCTACATTTTGGAATGAGCACATAGTTTCACCTAGTTTCACTGACTGACTGACTGACAGACTATTATTTATTTTGTATTTGTTGACGTTTCAAAAGTACCAAACTATGGTTTAATTGAAATAAATGCTTTGACTTTGAATAAAATAAAAAGAGACTGCGTTCGGCATTCTAATTGGCCGACTCCAATAAACTAGCCAATCGGAGCGCCGAACGCGGTCTCTACTTAAAATAAACTCGTACTGAGTCCTCAGTCAGACTAACATCACTTTTGACAGAGATCGGGAAGTAGCGCTCTCTGATAAACCTATACTTTTTAAATTGCAATTTCAACCTGCCTGCAAAACTTGGAGGTTAAGGCTACTCCACTCCATTGGGGCCCAATAAAGTTGATGCCGATACAGAGCTGCGGAGGACCTAACAAGTTGTCGAGGCTCCGGCTCAAAGAGCAGGAGTAGGAACGGGGCGGTTTTTGTGAGTAAGAGTCTGACACTCACTCTCGCCTCATCCGGGCGAGAGAAGTGATTGAATGATTTCCCCCCCTCAAAAGAGTCTAATCCCTCTAATGTAGAGGGGGCCTACATTGCATCAGAGGAGGGCTATGGATTGTAATCAATTTCCAAAATGCACCGAGAACTTTCTTTCAGGTGAATATGTCATTTTTTTATTTATGAAACGTTGCCCCACACTAGGATTTTCTCCAGTAGTAATACATATTATATAATATCACATACAAGTGACACCCAGACCCGATTCATCAATTTGTGGATTACACAATGAGTTGCTTCGTGCGGGAATCGAACCGTTTTGTTGCAACCCTGTAAAATACAAGTATTGACGTAAAAGTGTACCTATAGTTCAAAGTTTCCATCGGAATTGAGCTGTTGAAGTCTGTTGACTACGCCATTTAGACGCATGTTTAGTATTGGGCTATTCTTTTTTTTTCTTCGTTTTATTTTTGCTTAACATGTTGTTCGATAATGTGGCTTTACTTGTTATTATTTTTATATTGGGAGTGTTCTGTGAAAATGATAGCGAAGAATTAGTTGATTGTAAGTATGGAGAATTTACTTTGCAATCATTGCGTATTTCGTCTTATTAGTTCCAACAGTTTTGAGTTATAATACTAAGGATTAAGTACTAACTACTAATTGAAGTTATGTTTGAGACCAGCTCCTGTCAGCGGCTTTGCCCGCGTTCCCAGGGGTAAAAAGTAGCCTACGTAGGTATTATTGCAGTCCATGAATACCTCTGTTCCAAATTTCATGGGGTTTCTCCAGCCGTTTTAATGTGACTGAGTTACAAACACACACACATACTTACAAATTTTCGAATTTATAATAGCGGTTCAAGCTAATTTCGACCATCGGCCCTACAGTTACAGCGTGAGCTTCACTGCGGACGACCTAACATTCGACAAACTTATATTTGCGTTTGGAAAAGTAATTGTGTCTAGGGATTGAACTGCACTGTTAAGTTTGTTTTTTAGTGTATATACTTTTTTTGTGATAAAAAGTACCTCGTGTAGTACCTATACCAAGTTTCATCGTAATCGTTGGCCGAGTCGGTCGCAAGTGCGACTGCCGGGTAAGGGGACATGGGTTCGATTCCCGGGTCGGGCAAAGTATTACTGGGTATTTTGAAATTATCAGTAGTAACACGGAGTCTGGAAATGTGCCCGGTATATGGCAATTGCTCACACCCTATTACATGAGACTCATAACATAAATAGTGAAAATTGGGTGTTACATTGTATGTAATGTGCACCTCTGCCTACCCCTTCGGGGATAAAAGGCGTGATGCTATGTTATGTTGGACGTATATTTAACCTAGGCATTTTTTGACCCCAAGATGGAAAATTCTCATAGAGCCCCCTCGCCTGGAGAGGACGAAAGTCAGAACTTACTGACTGAAATCTTCACCGATGTCCCGCCTGACCTATATACCTACATGGATCAAACAGTGTGGTCAGCATTTAAAAATACGGTCGTTACTTAAAGATTAAGACTATCTATTGTTTTAATGTGATAGTTTTATCAACACCAAGGTTGACTTTATCAGTATTGCAACCTCAAGTACCTATAGTTAAACAGAATACACCTTTAAAATTATTTTTACCGACTTTCTTGAACATTCTTATTGCAACGTTGTAAGTTTCGCGACGTTTTTTGCCAAAAAATTTGGAGTTTTTTTTTCAATAATTTTTGTTTGGTTTTTCTTTATAGAAATGTATAGTGTGTATTTGCTGTGTCTTATGTTTGTGTGTGAAGCTCTTTGTATGTATAGTTCGAAAGTTATCGAAGGATACCCTGCTGGGTATTTGGCTGATTGTAAGTGAACACATGCATTTTTTTGTAATCATAAATTGGAGAAATCCTAAAAATATGTTCTCTTTTAATTGAAATAGCTTCTTCAAGCTTGAATTTTAGCTTTACCTTTTGGTCCTTTTTGTGAAAACCATAATTATGTAAATAAATACCTACTTTCTTTATTGATTACCTTCTAACAATCTGACATTTATCATTATCATAAGATAGTTCGAAACCATAAATAGGCTTTAATCATGCGTACCAAATCGACTTGTAGAAAAATTAGGAAAACAATCAAAAAAACTTAACTCAAAGTCAAAGTCAAAGTTATTTATTGCAAACATAGGTAATAAATACATAATACAGGATGAAGCATACATAATAACGAGGCGAACCTAACCTATATTTGGCCAAATTATAATAGGACCGATATTTATAATCGATATCGATCGAAGTGTCTCATTAAAACAGCAGCATAGAATTCGTTGAAAGTTGCCCGAAATCAGTACCGAAAACTGGAAAAACCAAGAGGTTTATCAGACGTAAAGTCCTACACACCTTTTCAGGTCCCTTAATGGAAAACCGCAATGAAGTAGGTACCTAACAATAATTTGTCAAGGTCTGGTAGTATTGCTTAACAGTGGGTTTATGAGTAGGTATGTAGGATTGTTTGTCATTTGTCACCGAAATGTAGTTTTCTTTTAAGTTGGGTGCGGTGCGAAGTATTGCGAAAATGACGTGTGCGACTTACTAATAATATTTGTTTTATTTTAACAACAAGGTATATAATGTTACACATAACTTTGTAAGTAGCCTTGTATTCAAAAGTGGTAAGCAGAGGTGCATAAATGCTCGTCACTTCCTTTAAGTCCACTTTTCACTTGATCTTTTAATATTATTTAATAGTAGCTTTTACCCGCGGCTTCGCTCGCGTCACAAGGATAAAAAGTAGCCTATGTGACATATACCAATACACACAGCGCCATCTATACCAATAATTTCGTTTTCCCTCGAGAATATCAAATTTTTCGGGGATAAAAAATACCTCATTATTTAATCCAGACTTCTAACTTTACGTCTGCAAAAATTAAAAGCAATCGGTTTAGTAGTTACGGCGTGAAAGCGGAACAAACAAACAAACTCACTTTCCGATTTATAATATTAGTAAAGATAATTTATAAGGCGAATTATTGCAAAAATGCCTCGTTGGCCGATTGGTCGCAAGTGCGACTACCGTGGTCTTGGGTTCGATTCCCGGGTCAGGCAAAGTAATATTGTTTTTTTTTTTAAATCTCTGTCGCAGCACAGGGTCTGGAAATGTGCTCGGTATACGGCAATAGGCTCACACCCTAATACATGGGACTCGTAACATAAATACTGAAAAGTGGGTGTAACATTGTACAGTGGCATTAATTGCCGTAATGTGCACCTCTGCCTATCCCTTTGTATATCATATATGCTCAAGTTATGGGAAAATTATATAAAACAATTCTAATCTCTTGACACTCAGTTACATTTATTAGTCATGATTCGAAGTTGAGATATCATTGTCGCTCATAAGGCCAATCGAACAGAAAAAGTATGACTAATACAATAACATTTATTTGTTTTATTACCGTAAAAAGAAAATGAGTGTCGATGAGTGTAAACATATGTTACTGTATATTTGTTTGTTGATAATAATGTGTTTCAAGGATCGCAAGTATTTCTGAAGTAGTTGCTTTGTTTGAGTCCTCAATATTTGATTTGAACTCTTCGATTATATTATTATGTTATTTTTATCCAAAGGTCTTTCTACTATAAAAGGCGAATCTTTTTACCCCTAAAAATCCTAAAATAATTGGGGTATAATTATCAGGCTACTTGGAGTCGGCACAATTTGTATGTCTTCTTTTTTTCATTCTCCCCTATAAGAATTTCTTTAATTCCTCGTAAAACACGTGAGTAGAGATATCTAGTATGACTAATTAGTCTGGAATAAAAATTAAACTCATTTCTAATTTTCTAAAGCTTCCGTTGAATAGTAGTCACTCCAGTTAAGTATCTCATTGTGCCGAGGAAGCAATAATTTTATTTTCAAATAGTTTTTAACGGACCTGTTGGATATTATTACAGTAGGAAGTATTTAAGTACAACATTCTTTAAACTGTCAAACACCAAGCGGTCACCGGTGACTGCAACCTATTGTTCTATAATTGTGTCTACAAAACCGGTACTCGACGAGTTAATATTGGATTGCTTACCATCACGTATAGCGCCTTCTAGTTTGCCGCCCCATCCTATAAAAAATCAAAACGATCGTCTAACCTTCTACTAAGACTGTGGATTATGAGGAGGCCCTCGCTTACGACCACCGATTACAATAAATAAGAATTACACTGCACATTCTAACAAAGTTTTCTCCAACATTTATCCAGGTCCAGGCACGCAGATACCACCGTACATATCACCAACAGATTTGAAACAGCTCACCATATCAGTGCAAGGAAAGGCGTCCATACTTTGGCCAAAAACAAAGTACAATTACTATCAAATGAAAGAAATGGCTAAGGACCCGTGGATAGACTGGAGGAAGCCTACCATGATGTATGTTGGAGGGTTCATGGACCATCCACAATATCCCTTTGCCCTATCCATCGGGGTTGTGTACAAGAAATTGGGGTACAATGTATTCCTACTGGATACAAACCCGTTTACTACTTTTGCGTATGCCGTGTAAGTATTTTTCAAGGTCTTCAATAGAGATTAATTTGACTTTTTTGAGGACAAATCATCCAACAACTTCTGCCGCCTTGGGTGAGGAGAGTCGGACTCTAACTGACTACCTAATACCACCCCATTCCTACTCCTGCTCTACGAGCCGGAGGCCTGGCAAACCCGTTAAGTCTTCCGCGGATCCGTATTGCGCATCATCCCAACTAGACCCCATAATCTATGTTTGTCTGATGGCTCTTCGCTGCGCGCGAAACGCAATGCGTTGCTAATCAAATTAATCTCTTTGGAGAGTATCTGAATAATCTTTGTGCATTAAGTACTGAAATTATTTGTATCAAGTAGGTACTCAAGTACTTATTACATCCATATTACACATACAGGTGGTTAGGAAATTCAACAGTAATAATTACGGGCCCTGTCGGGAACAGCCATCTTGTCTATATTACGAAATTTATCTATATAAATAAAAATGAATTTCTGTTCGTTAGTCTCGCTAAAACTCGAAAACGGCTGAACTGATTTAGCTAATTTTGGTCTTAATAGGTTCGTGGAAGTCTAGGGAAGCTTTAAAAGGTGAGAAAAAACTTTTAGGCGGTACGAAGTTTGCCGGGTCAGCTAGTTAAAAATAAAACACTCTTCGTTGACTTCAGTGATTTTCTAATGAATTCCTCTTTATTTCAGAGCTGCAAATAACGTTCGAACAATAGGAAAACACGTCGCAGAAATGCTCGTCACCCTAACAAAATATGGTCTCGATCCCAAAAAACTAGAACTTGTCGGTCTTAGTCTAGGAGGACACACCATGAGTTTCATAGCTAAGCACTATAAACAGCAGACAGGAACAAAAATATCTAGACTAACAGGCTTAGACCCATCTGGTCCTTGTTTCCGGAACTTAGGACCAGATGATAGATTGGACGAAAGTGATGCGGACTTCGTAGATGTGATTGACACGAATATTGATGGATATGGAATGGCGGCTCCAGTCGGCCACGTTAATTTCTACGTCAATGGTGGAGAGTTTCAACCTGGAGATATTTTTTGGGCACCTTGTGACGTCATCTGTAGTCACATACGGGCTTTTACAATTTGGATTGCAGCGCTGTTAAACCCTAATAGTTTCATCGCTATGAAATGTAACACAGTTCAGGAAGCAAGAAATAAAGATTGCTATGATAAAAATCCTCCTGTGACTAATATTGTTGGGTTGAATACTGATAAAAATGTTCATGGGATTTTCTATTTGGCTACGTCTAATAATTTTCCTTATTTCATGGGCTTGAAGGGTTTGAAGAAGGAATTCGAATTCTTTGATTCGAAATTGAATTTGAGTAAGAGGACCAGTTTGTCTTATTTTTAGTTGTTTTTTTTTAATGAATGTTTAATAACTATTACTTCGAAACTATTGTGAATTTCGAATACTAATGCCATCTGTTATTTATTTCTGGAACCTCGAAGCTTTGTTCAGACCTAGAGCACATTAGAATTATTACAGTGCACTTCATGTTTCATTTTAAGGTTTAGATTATTGAGTTAGTATGCTTAAGAAATTACAGGAAATGTACCTAACTACCTATTTAATTAAGAAAATGTTTTTATTAAAATATTACAAAGCATTTTTCAATAATTATTTCATTCTTTTCGTACCGCCAACTAGTGCCATCTATAGACCACTTTTATTCACTTCGACTACTATTCTCCCCTCTAAATTGCAAAGCCAACATGGCTGTAACAATTTAAGAGTACAAAACTAGAGGGCGCTGTTATAGTTCCGCAACAGTTGTGTAGATGGCGCTAGGGGATGTTGTTGTAAATGAGATGCACATTAAACTTCATGAGGTCATAATTCATATTTTTGGTCTTAGTATTTTATAGTCGCATTTGGTGAATTGGTCCTCTTGTCGGTGAGTTAAGGGACCAAAAATCTAAATGAAACATAGCATCATTTTTAGTTACTTATCATCGTCAGCTTAATTCTGTCTACTCACACAGGTCATAGGCCCAGGTTGAAATCAATTTTTAGGTCTTCGGCTAAAACTACAATTACTAAGGCTGTTTTTAATATTTCTGTGTCCAGTACCCATATTGCGAATATTGGCAGTCCACACTATGACACTACCCTATTTTTGGTCAGGGCATGGGATCTTCTCTAAACTACGTTTAATTCACCGGTTGTCGGTTCTACGAGGGATGTCACCGGTCCAGCGCCACTACAGCTTTACTGCTTTAAGGGATGGCATCTATAGGTTTTTATTAACTAAAATAATAAGTTTTTTTTATAGCATAAGCCGGTAAACGAGCAGGCGGATCACCTAATGGTAAGCAATCGGCGCCGCCCGTGGACACCCGAAACACCAAGGCATTACAAGTGCGTTACCAGTCTTTTGGGAATTGGAAATTTGACTATTGTGGAGGATTCGGGGATAGGTAAGGGACACGACGAAACACAACGCATGCGTTGTTTCAAGTCCCGTATAATAAAGGCCAAGTCTATGTTTCCGATTTTTTATCAATACTATCTCCAATCTCATTCAGAAAGGGATGTCCAAAATAATCCTTTAACATTTAAAACAGTTTTTTGTTCATCATTTCTATAGACTGTGCTTCCTCATTTTAGAGGTCAAATATGGCCGAATTAAAAGTGCATTGTAATAGGGCCCAGCTGTTTACCTGACCCTTGAATGGGACAAAACGGCCCTGTGCTATTAACCCTCGTAATTATGCGAATGTCAATAAGTAGGGGTCATATTGTCCGACTACTAACCCTTTCTTGAAAGGATTTGCGCGCAGAATTTTATGCTGGTTGTTTTTTTTTTTGGCTTGTTATTCTGAGTTGTGTGAATTTTAGATGCGTATGCTAATGAGACCGTTATGCATTTGGTTTTTGGACTTTTTAAGACATGGTCTTTGTGGTTTGTAAAGTTTTTTTTATCATCATCATCATCATCATCAACAGCCTATAAATGCCCACTGCTGAGCAAAGCCTCTTCTCACACGGAGAAGGTTTGAGCATCAATCACCACGCTTGCTCAATGCGGGTTGGCGATTACTTTAAAGATTTTTTTTTAAGTTTTTTTTAAGGGGGGAAAAGCATCGAATGACTGCTCCCGCCTGGATGAGGCGGGAGGGAGTGTCAGACTATTACTGACTAAAAACCACCCTGTTCCTTCTCTTGCACGTCGAGCCGGAGCCCCGGTTACCCGTTAGGTTCTCCGCGACGTGGTTTGGAAGGTTTAGGTATGGTTTCTACATAACCTATTTACTAGAGTTCTTTTTTATTTGCAGCCATGATCGTCCCACTGCAGGGCAAAGGCCTAAAATTAAACCCACTCCTATCTAGGCAATAAAGTCCAAATTCCTATAAACAAAATCAAACAATGTACACTATACGCCTCAATTAAGTAGGGTCAGTAAAGAAATTCCTATAAAGCACTTTGAGTACAATTGATAGTTTTTTACGTCCAAATGGACACCTGGCCCTTATTTGAATATAATTATTATTTTTGCTGACCGTATTTAGGGTCCTTTTGTATTATTTTTCCTGGTCCATTGTTAATTTGCTGACGGTACCCTGCCCATCTCTGAATGGATGCGGGATGAAGATATTATTATCTAAAGGGTATTTTAATTGTTTTGGTCGAATTAAATTTGCATAAATAGACATCGGTGAGTTGATGATGCGAAAATTGCTGAAGCAATTTTTTTCGGTACAATTTGCAAGGACGGCTGCGATTCTAGGGTTAAGTATCTAAACTTAAAGCATTGTTTCAGTTTGAACAGATTACCACATTTAATTTTCTGTTTAGTATTATTAGACCTTACTAAAAGACAACATATAGATTTGGCAACAGCTCTTGTAAAAACCTGAATCTACTATTATAATTTTCATCTACTACCCTTTAACTATATCTTAATTAGGAATATAATTAGAGCGACATAGCTTCAAGCTATGGTGGTAGCCCGGAGGTTTAAGACGCCTGCTACTCATGCATGAGGGTTCGAAACCGACCAACGGCAAGTACCAATGTGACGTTTTCCGAGTCACACAAAGCGCCAAACTTCATTTGTACCAACTATATTTTATATCTACGTATTTTTCCGTCGTTTCCGTCACGGGGCTAAAATAATTACAATATATATTAGGTATTTATAACCAAAATACATTCAAGTTAAACATAAGTAATTTAAGTAATGAACACTAAATGAATTCACTCTAAAAGCCCAAAAATACTTAAAAAAACGACTCCGATTAACCTCTTTACATAAGTACTTTCTTTTGATCGAAAAAAATACTAATCGTTTAGTACGTAAACGATTAATCGACAGGTGTGGTGTCAGTGGCGCTGTCAGTGTGACATTTTGAATATTAATATCGATTATCGATATAAAGTTTTGTATCGATTAAAAGTGAGGCAGAATGACAATGACCCTGTTTTATTTTTAAAGTCCTTTCCATTAAGAACTTAAATATTATGATCCACATTTAGTAAGTAGTTAATCGAATTTGATAAAATCTCCAAGAAAATTACTTATTTGTTTTAGCTTATATAAGAAAAAAAAAATTAGATACCCTTTACGGAAAATGTAAAATTTAACTTGAGAAACTATAGTGACTTTCTATTTGTTTAACTGTTATAAATTAATAATAATAATTAAAAAAAATATATTAAAATAAAAATTGTGTTAACAAAAAGTGCCACTTGTTCACAATACCTTGCTTTGTAGTAATTAACATATCTATCAAAATATTATACGAATCGAATAAGAGAAATAGGCCAAATCATCTTCATTAGTGACGTAAAGCATGTATCCAATCGATTCTTTGGGAATCGATTTGAATCGCTTGGATGATCAGTTGGAATTCCGAAAATATTATTGATGTTTATAATTTATTCAAAGATTTCTGTATTGGGTATCATATTTAGCCCTTTGAATTTAAATAGTGTAAGCTGTATATTATGTTGTTCAAATTATGTCGATTAGTAATGATTAGAAAATAAAGCAATAAAGTATCGATTTTATTTGTTTGTGTGAACATGAATGGTTGAAATCAGATACTTTTACTAAATTGAATGCATTTTTTGTTTGAATATTTGTTAGGGTAGATGAGTTATTAGCTATAAGCAATCAGATTCTTAATTTAGGTAATCTCTGGACCAAAATATTATTTATTTTTGTAGCTGTTCGTACAAATGGGATAAGCCGGTAAACTAGCAGACTGATCAACTGATGGTACGCATTTGGCGTTGCCTATGGACACCTGGAAAACCAGAGGCGTTACAAGTGCGTGATTAGGAATTTGAGGATTGTTAAGGGTTCAGGAGAAGGGGGGGAATTAGGCCTCCTGTAACCTCATTTACACGACGAATCACAACGCAAGCGATGTGTCACGTCGGTTTTCTGTGAGGCCGTGCTATCACTCCGGTCGAGCCGGCCCATTCGTGCCGAAGCATGGCTCTCCCAGACTGCACTGGAAGGAGATGCATTAGTAGGTACTGCTAATGGTAAGTTGTTTTGTCTCCGGACGAAAACGAAATAGATTTGACGGCGTAGAGTCTTTTTTTTTTTTTTTTTTTTTT